AGATTTATTAGTCCATTAAAAAAAAAAACAAAAAACAAAAAAAAAAACCCCCAATTTTCCCTCCAAACCTTGTCCTTGATTATTTGAGACCATCGTAGCTGTAGGAGAATTTTGACTCTTTGCCAACCTGGCCATTAAACGCAGAGCAAATGTTGCTGATTTAACTCCTTCAAACTCTCCGTGATTTTTCTGAATCTTTTGATTTGATCCAGACCAAAAATATTATTATTATTATTATTATTATTATTATTATTATTATTATTTTATTATTAATAATATTAATAATAAATAATAATAAATAATATTGATAATGGTAATAATGATAATAATAATAATGATGATGATAATAATAATAATATTGATAATGATAATAATGATAATAAGGATAATAATAATAATAATAATAATAATAATAATTTAAAAAATTAAAAAATCATACAGAAATGACTTGCTGGATCAGAGAGCTCTCGATATCTCTCCGATTCCAGCCCTTTCAAGTGTCAGCCATATCGATATGTCTCCATATCGAGACGCTTTTGTGGCGAAGGTCTGGGAGATGAAAATCAGGAGGCAGCTCCAGGAGAGCCGGGCTGGGAGCTGACCCCACGCCTGGGAGGCTCCGTGGATTCCTCGGCTCCTCCCGGAGCCCTTCCCAAGGATGGAAACGCCTGGGAAGGGAGCCCTGGCTCCGAGGGGAGGCTGCGATCACAACCCGAGCGGATCAAGGTGAGATTCCGCTGCTTTCTGCCGGCTGTGCCTTTGAAAGGAGCGCTGGGCACAGTTTTTGTGGCTGTTTGTTTATTTAGTGTGGATTTGATCCATATCCGTCTTTTTTTTTAACTGAGCTCTCTTGGGCTCTGTTGAAGAGCCTTTAAGTGCTCTCCCAGCAGGCAGGTTTGAGGGAAATGGACACAGAGATGTTCTGGCATTTCTGCAGCTCCAAAAGGAGCTTCCTCTCCCCAAAAAGGAAAGAAAAAGTGCAGCACAGCTCAGCTCTTTCTATAACAAGCCCCCATCTCCAAGCTGCTCAGTTCCCTATCTGACAGCAAAAACATCACCGAGCCTTTCTTAAGTTAGTGAGCTTTATTTCGGAAATAAATAAAATTGTAAGAAAATAGGAATGATTGTAATAAATACAGCACTTGTCAAAGTGATACAGACAGGAAAAGCATAATATATTTAGGTAAATTACTCCAGTGTGGTGACAGGGGCTGGCACATTGCTGGGAAAATCACTTTGTGTCCCTGAAAGAACATTTGAAAGATGGAATAGAGGAAAAGACACACAGAATATCCAGTTCCTTCCCAAGCAAGCTTTGATGAATATTTGTTTATGGGGTGGGTGTTTTTGAAATGTGATGCTTCATCACAACTAATTATTTTAAAGGCTGTTGCCAAGACAGAAGTGAGAGATTCTGCACACATCCAGACAATCCCAGGCTTCTTGCACTTATTAAAAAAAAATATTCATTCCTCCCCTCTATTAGAAGACCCAAAAAGAATAAAACCATTTCTACCAGTTACTTGTATTTTAGCATGCAAAAAAAAATCCCTTAAACATCAAGGCACATTAAGCAAAAAAATAAAAAGCAATAATTTCTAATAAGTCATCTGCCTTGAAGCTCCAAGAAGTGACTGGACACTGAACCAGAGCACTGAGGGGGCCTTCCCACAGCTCTGTATCCACATCCAAGGGCTCCTTTGGAAATCCCAGGGGTAATTCCCCCAAGGCACAGCGTAACCCAGGCCCTGTCTGCTGACACAACACAACATCTCACAGAGCTCATCAATAGAGGTCTGGAATAAATAGCAAGAAATAAATCCCTGGGGTCAGGGACCGCAGCTCTGGCCACAGCTCTGGGCTTCCAAGGTCATGGGGAAGCACAGAGACACCTGACCCGGGCCTGGGGGGAAGGAATCTGCTCCTCTTCCTCCTGGAGAGCAGCCAAGGCTCCCCCTGGGGCTGCCAGCCACTGCAGGCTCACCCCAAAGCTCCCGGGAAAGGAACTGCCCTGGCTGGGAACTGCCCGAGGATGGGGCAGCTCAGCCTCACCTGCACCCACAGGCCCAGGGAATCCAGCCCCAATCCCTCACCTGCCCCCACAGCCCCTCCCTGGGCAGGGAATCCAGCCCCAATCCCTCACCTGCACCCACACCTGGGCAGGGAATTCAGCCCCAATCCCTCACCTGATCCCACACCTGGGCAGGGAATCCAGCCCCAATCCCTCACCTGATCCCACAGCCCCTCCCTGGGCAGGGAATCCAGCCCAAATCCCTGCCCAGCAGAAGTGCAGCCACAGCTGGGCCAGCTGTGAGCAGGAGCAGCCCCTTCCCCAGCAGTGTGGGGGGATGTGTGTGGATGGAATCCACATGAGAATTGTCTGATTTGGTGAAATAATCCCAGCAGCTGCTGCACTGGGATGTCTCCAGTGGGTTCAGGGGTGCAGGCACAGGCTCCGGGGATTTTCTGGACACACAAACTAACACAAGGGCTCAAAGGGATGCTTTTCTCCTCATAATCTACTGACATCCAGCAAGTGACTTCCCCAGGCAAGCATATTTCAGGATTTGCTAATTGGTTTCTATGATGCACTTGAGGAAAAGCGTGTCCTCCTTCACGTAGGCGTGTTTGGGGGACTGCAGTTTGGACAAGGGCAGGAACATGGGGCAGCCACTGGCCACATTCATGTCATTCACCGGCCTCTGGAAGGAAGCAGAAGTCAGGTCTGGGCGAAAGGCATCGATTACGTGTTCCCTGTTATTTTGGTCAAGCAACATAAACGTCACCTGAAAAACAGAACGTGGCAATGAGGAGTTACTGGAGTGAAAAACAAACCAAGCAGGGACAGAAGTGCAGCAAAAGCAGCTGGATGCTCCTCTGGTAATTAAATACACACTGTAACGAATGTTTCCAACCTGCAAGGTCAGTTCATGTGAACTCCCAGATGAAGTTTTTAAAACTTTGCTACCCATAAAGCAAAATTAAATTAAATCAAGTAAGGAATTATTCCTTGGTAGAGAACTGTACAGTCCAAAGGCTTTTTTCCTCTGTGTCTCCTGACAACTTAAACAGCCCCTGGGTTTGGTTACAGTCATTACATTTATTCTGTTATTGTGGTTTGGAATCAGAAGAAACAGCTCAGTTGCCCATGCAGAAATATGTAAAAGACACAACCTAAATATCAGTATAGAGTCTCCCCAGCTCATTATCCCTTTTATTAATTCACAGTTCTATAGCTTGAAGTATGAAATATCTGCAATAATCTTTAAATACAGTGAGGATCTGGAACTTTGATTTCCATTTTTTTGGCTGCTAACTGGTAGTAAAACTGTTTATAGGAAAGACTTACAGAATTATTACTCCACAAAATGCCACAGCAGAGATCAGACCCTGCTCTTTTCACTGCTTTTAACCATTTTGCCATTATCAAATTTTTTAATTTGACCATTTTAACCATTGCTGTCATTATCAGGTCACACTTAGGGTTAAAAACAAGACCAGGATTACCTCAGACATCTGTGGCACCTCTGTAAGTGGAACTCTCACCTCACCCCACTGTTGCCTTCAGCAAATCATAATTCCCTCCTAAACTGATGCTGCTTGTGTTTAGCAAGAGCCAGGAGAAGATGTGTCTCTGGCTTTAGGCCAGGTGGACACAGGCTGGAACAACCCAAACACCACGTTCTGGTGCCTGAAAATCCTGCCTGGCAAAGTCTGGAATATCAGCAGGAGCAGCTTTCCCCACGAGGGACTCCAGTCAGAGACAAGTTATTACCCAGGACTGCAGGGTAGCTCCTCACCTTTGGAAAGGGATGTGGAAAAGCACTCAGCTTCCACAAAACTCCAGAGAAAGTCACCTTGTGTTGACTTTTGGCTGGGATCAGATATGGAAAGGTTTCCCTTCTTACCTTGTGCCTGAAAGGCCACGGGAGCAAAGCGTCGTAGTCTCCTTTCATGACAACGAAGAACAGGGACATGTGGGTTCCTTTCCCTGTGCCATCCCCGTTCAGGTACACCCTCAGACACACCTTGTAGCCATATTTTGCAGTGTAGAAAGCTGAAAATCAGAACTTTTCATTAGTAAAGCTGTTTTTTGGGGGGCATAAAAGGCATAATGTGTGTTTTGGCATATGGGAAAAGTGTGGCGTGGCTTGCTCTCACAGAAAGGAGTACAGACAAATCAGCACTCCCTGGGGATTACAAGCAATGAAAACCCAGTGGTTGGAATCCTTTTAGTGCCTCAAACCTTGGTGAAAATTACCTGTTATTAGCCACACAAGTGTACTGTACCTAATCCAATTAGTCCCCACGTGGAAAGAGCTGCACCGTGTGGTGCCAGCAGGCACCGAGCTGAGGGCTGGGAGCGATGGATCCACTGCAAGCAGCTCTGCTGGAGGGCAAAGTGCAGGGTGAGAGCCCAAACTAGAGCACAGCCCTCTGGAAAAGCACATCCCAGAGCCCTGGATTACAGATCTCTGCATAAACAGCATCTTGCTTTAAGGAGCTGTTTTAAAGATCCTCCTGCCGGCACGAGCAGAAAGAAGAGTTCCGGAGAAATGGGGGGGATTCTGAAGGATTGGGGTTTGTGAACACACATCTCCATCTTGTGCTTTACCTGGGGAGTAGAAACTGACTGTCCTGCCAGTCACAGAGTCCTGGAGCTTCCTGCCAACATCTGTGATTTTCCAGAGGAAGATGCCATCGTAGGAGGCTTGCTCAGAGAACACCAGGCTCTTGTGCAGGCTGCTCAGGCCCGCGTCCTTCTGCGTCAGGCACCGGTGCAACTCTGAAATCTGGGCAAAAAAAACCAGTCCTCAGTCACCCCCTGCTCCAGGCTGTGCTGCAGGGGTGGCTGAATCCTTCTGGAGTCCTCATGTTCTGGAAGTTCTGCTTTGATTCCTTTCTAAGTGACAGCATTATGTCAAAACATACACAGAGATGTTGTTTGGGCCTCCAGGCAAAATGCTGCTGGGAGAGGATCAGACAATTAAACAGCTCTCCTGCCTGCTCACAGCCTGATCATGCCAAACTCTGACACTCAGAACTCCCAGGAATACCTCACTACCTAAATGTGGATTTAGAGAACAAATATTAGAGACCCAAGTTTGAAAATGTATCAAACAACAAAAAGATCCTGAATGTGTGTCCGGATCTGAAGCCTTCACAGCTCAAACTCCTGTTCTGATCCCTACCCCAGCTCTCCCTGGCGTGTGCCAGTATTTGTTGTCTGGAGAACAAGCACACAGACAATCCTTGCCATAATTTTTTACCTTCAGTTCGAGGCTCCGTATTATGTTCTGGTCCAGTTCACTCTGTCTCCTGAAGGCCAGGATTTCCAAATTAGAGCTCTCCACCTCCTTATTGAGCACTGCCACAATGTTCTCAAAGACATGCAGTTTATTTTCCAGCTCAGAAATCACCTTCTCCCTCATGAGCTGCTGCAGGACAGACTGGTCTTCAGGAACAGAGGATCCAGGGAAACAGTCCACTTCTGGATCCCTGCTGAATTCCAGCCCTGCTGGGATCTGCAGGTCAGAGATGCTTTTTCCTGAGCTCCTCAAGTCCAGCTGTGGCTGTGGGGTGAAGCCCTGTGCAGCTCTGGCAGCAGAGCACAAGGTTCCCTGCAGGTGCCTGATGTGCTGCAGCAGGAGCAGCATGTGGGTCCCCACTGAGGACTTCTCGTGTTCCTTTAGCTTCTCTTTGCTTCCCTGGAAGAGACAAGGCTGTCAGTGCACCCTCCATGGCCAACCCAACTGGCCTGGGGCCAAGCCCAGCAATGCTGCAGCTCCCTGGGAGATGGAAAAACTGCGAGGAGCAGGTGCAGCTCCATCACCTGGCATCAGCAGGGCTGACTCTGCTTTAAGAGATGCTTCCCCGAAGGGAATGGCCAAAGCAGGGTAGAACATTCCCTTCAGGGAATGTTTCACTCACCCTAAATGCACAGCCAACTTCAGAAAAACAACACCCATCCTTGTTGGCTGAGGATGCAGAGTGGCTCTGTTGAGAAACCAAAATGCAGAGGAAATAATCAAAACCAATTGAAATTAATTCTCTTATTTCACTACAAAATACCTAAGTCACAAACCCAGCAGTCATAAATCAGATTAATTCAAGTCAAGGCAATTCCACAGCTCCCAGTGCCCAGCCAGCTTTGAAAATTGATGGTAAATCAATAAAAGTGTGGTTGATGACAAGTTTCCTGCACACAGCCTGGCAGTGATGTGTCCATCTCACAGACCCCATCATGACAGAACACACTTTAACAGCTTCTCATAAAGAAGATGCTGTAGATACACTGATGTACAGCACACTCCTGCTCACGTGGCTCACTCAAGGCTTGAGAGGAAACAAAGATTTGCTCATTTCACAAGATTAATTGAGAAGAAAATGTAGGGGAGGTAATTGTGGGAGCAGGGAAGATGAGGCAGCCAGCAGGACTTTGCTGGGACGTAAGGAGCAGCCAGATACAACTGCTGGATCTGAAGATGTTCTCAGGTGCTCGTTGAACCTAAATGAACAAGTGATAATTTTATTAATTGGAATAAAGCCCCATTGCACTCACTCATCTTTCACCCACCTTTTCCTTTGATGCTGTTTCTGCTTGCACAGGTTTTTGTTCCTTGCATAAACTGCCTTCACATGAATGCTCCTGTCATTAAAACAAGAAGGAAAACATTCAGCACCTTCCTTAATTGTCAAGTTGAAGGTCACCCTGGGATATTGGATACAAGATTGGCAACGTGCAGGTGTTGCCAGGTTCAAACCAAAGTTATGTGAACACACACAAAAACGTGCACTCACATGCAGTGACAAGCTGAGGGTTACAGAACAGGAAACAACAATGACCAGCAGAACGGGAAATTCAAATATATACAGATATATATATATACATATGAACATAAACAGGTTACAGCACAGGAAACTCCAATATAAATTCAAATTCAAATATAATTCAAATATAAACTCTTCTTGCATTGACTCCATACACTTTGCTCAACGTGCAGACCCTTCTTGCATCCTGCTTATGAATATTTATGGAGGCTGGAACCCAAATTCTCCACCATGATGTGCTAAAGCAAAATACATCAGCACTCCCAGGAGGCTTCCTGCCATTTCTGCCTCCAGGAGGGGTGAAGAGATCCCCCTGCCACTGGCTCTGTAATATCTGTATTTAACACAGCAGCTGTCAGCTTTCCCTTCACATTCTTCAGAGGGGGTGGCTTTAATCTTCACAAACTCCTTTGCACACCAGCTCTGAGGTTTCCCTTTCGATTCTCAGAAATGCAGCCACGGGTTTTTTCTCGCTCTCTAACTCCTTTTTTAAACACTCTTTATCTTGCCAGTGATCTTTTTAATTTCTGCTCTTTTACTTCTTCAGATCACCCATTCCTTGAGGGGGAGAGGCACTGGCCTTCAGAGGAGAGAAGTTTATTTAAAAATAAAGAAATATGAAAAATCAAAAGACCTAAAACTGAATGAATAAGATGAAGAGAGCAAGAGCAGCACCCAAAATTTACTATTTTCTCCCAGAGGGTTGTAGACCCATAAAATACTCACAAATAATCAAAATTTGGGACTCGATGCAGATTTATTAAAGCAGACCATGCAACCAGAATTCTACACATCCTAAAGGAGGCAGATAAAAAAACCACACCTCAAGGCCAACCCCCTGCTCGGTTGCCAAGGTTTCCTAACCAAAATATGAATTAGGTGGTAGCTGAGTGGAGTGAGTGGGAGGAAAACAGCCCTGGAGCTGTGGAGAGCCCTGAGCAGAGAGCTCAGCTCTCCCCCTCCTGCACTCACAGAAGGGATTTAGTGTTGCCACCTTCTGGTACTCAGAGTTTTGGGAAACGCTGGGTTTAGCACCACCAGGATGTACCTGGCTCCAGGTTCTCCTCTCTCTGCAGGTTGGTAAAGGATGAAGAGCACAGGAAGAAGCTTCCCAAGGAGCAGATTTGAACAGAGCACCTGAGTCTCGTAATTCCATGTAAATCTCTCAGCTCAGTATTTGGAAAGGCACCAATTTGTGACACTTTGGACACACAGAGCTACCCAGAACTATTTACATCTCTGAAATTCCCACAGCCCTCCTGTCACATGGATCTTTAATCACCATGCCTTATTTACCATTATTGTTCTCTTGAAATCATCTGGAGGGAACAATATTCATTGCTTTGAGCAAATAGCATAAAAAAATTATAAAGCAACCCTGTTTGAATGGCACTGAGATATTTGTGGCAGATTCAGAGTGAGATCTACCTGGTCTATAGACACTGCTGATAATTTGGAGGTTTATGTCTGATCAGATCTAATAGAAATAATATCTGACAGAATCCTGCCCTACACATTTGTGGGTAGTTTTAGTCTGAATAAGCTTCAGACACTCTCAAGATCCCTTCCCTGCCACTGTCTCTGCTTTTCTGGTTTTCTCTTACCTCACACCAGGACACATTTTGAGCCAGGAGCTGAAACCTGGGCTGCCCGAGCCCAGGGGAGCACATGGGTACTTTGTCACATCACCAGCACATTGTCACATCCGTTTTTCCCTCCAACACTTGTATGGAAAAATGATCAAACTCAGGAAAATTAAATATTCCCTGAGTGCAATGAAATCAGGTTGGGAAAATGGCATCACAGATTATTGATACCATCAATAGAAAGCTTTTATTTGAGAGAGAAATGTTCTTACCTGGAATTCAGAGCTGGCCAGGCTGCGCTGGCACTGCTGACACACTGTCACATTATTGACACATCCATTTTCCAAGTGATCTGCCAGCTTCCTTCTCATCACCATGTGCCCACAGCCAGTGTGACAAGGGATCAAAGCATATTCACATAAACTCTGATGCTCCTGGAAGTAAAAAGTTATAAAGCAACATGTAAAGTGATGATTCATTTTTATCTATAAATAGTCTCTGTTCTGGCAGCCCAGGGCTCTGCTCTGCATTTCTTCTAAGCTTGGGTAAAGTCCCACTGCACAAAGTTACTGAGATTACTGGTGAAAAATTCACCAACTTTACTGGGGCTTTTTCTGTTAATTATTCATTTTAAAAAAATCTCACAACCAAAACCAAACATTTGGTAAATTCAAACACGAGGTCTCCCTTAAACAGTCTCTCTTCGGGCTTTTGTTTGAAAACATGATCCTGCTCCCAGCTTTCTCCCTTGTATTATTACTCAGATTTGCATGGCAGATTCACAAATCTTGACCACTTAAATATTTGAATTGAGGCATTTCAGATCAGCCTGCGAAGAATGATGAATACAATCAATACACAGACACAGGAGTGAATTATTTCTCCTATAAAACACACCAAGGACATTGCCTGAACAGTAACTCTGCCCTGTCACAACCTGCTTGTAGCAGCCTTGCACTTAAAATGATAAGGAAACCACTGGAAAAAAAATATCAAGTTGATGTAAATTTGTGCAAAGTGAACTTCATTCAGGATGATCTGGATTTGGTCAAAGCCCTGCTAAAGTTAATCACAGAACCACAGAATTATTTGGGTTGGAAGGGACCTTAAAGATCATCCAGCCCCAACCCCCTGCCATGGGGATTTAACCTTCCATAGATTAATGGCACATTTTTAGACAAAAACGTTGGTATAAATCACAATGCTGACACTGGTTCTAATTAATTGCATGAATTTGTGTCTGCTGATACCCTGGTTTCACTGCCTCTCTGTCCCCATTCCATATTAATTTGAATAAACTCTCTTTAAACATACTTCAAAATCTTTCATGATACCAGACCAGCTGCACCCAAGGGTCACACAGTGGACTCTGAGTTCAGAAATCTCTTTATTAATGGCAGCATCACCAAAAGCCTGGAAAGAAAACAAAGTAAGGAAAAAAAAAAAAACATTGGTGAGAAAGTACTTCTGGATCTATCCTTGGAATAGGAATAGGGTGGCAGAAATCCACCCCTTGATAAATCTTTAATTTTTTTTAAATTTACTGTATTGAATAAGACCCTGTGACCTGGCAAGTTAATCTTTGCATAGTAGGAACCCAAATAATTATTAAAACATTTTTTTCTTAGCACTCAAAAATAATCTGACACGATATTTATTTACTGAAAATAAATACAGCTCTAATTTTACATTTCACAGGAGCCTGAAATATTTCACATGCAGCGAATGTGCTGACAGGACCCTGACTGTGGGGTCCCTTAATGAATGCATTTCATTATCGGGGTCATTAACACCTCCTAAATGTGCTGCAGAGAGGACTTGAGAGTCTCTGCACTGAGTGCACTGCTCAGATCTGGGCTGTTTCCATTTAGCAGACACTGTGTGCTAAAAAAAAATCTGAACCAGATGGGAGAGAGGTTTGTTCTTTGCACTACATAGATTCTTCTGTTATTTAAACATGAGGAATTGTACAATTGTTATGTAATTATGAAATACTGCACACTTTAATATTACATTTTGCACTAAAATAGGCACAAGAAGAAGCCCTGCCATGGTTTAAAGGCATTTTTTTGGACACTCTGGAGGTAAGTACAGTGCAGAGAAATGCAGATTTCACGTGGAATAATGCAGAGTAAGGACTGGGAGGGGAAAGCTTTACAAACAGAGGCAGGAAAGTATTTATAAACTGTGCCCACATTTCCAAGTTCCTGAAAATCTACCCAGCATTTGTTGGGAATGATCTACACTGGCAGATCCTCCTCCCTTCCTGGCTTCATGTGGACACCCAGCAGGCAAAGGAGCTGCTCACAGCCACCCACCCACAGCCTGCAGAAATTCCCAGCTCACTCAGGGAGAGCCCCACAGCAGAGAAATCCCAAATGACAGACAAAGCACGTTCAGAAGGGCTCAGCTGCACCTATTTGTGCAGGAAATCTGTTACTGGGAAATTAATTGCAGAACTCAGGCGTTGTTCTTTGGTTTTTTTCCTGGGATATTACCAAGTCCAGCATTAGCAGCAGATCCATTATTTTGCTGCTTCCTAAACTTTGGTTTTTATGCCACTGTGTATTTGTTTTCATTTCCCCCTAAAAAATTTAGACAAATGATGTGTCTGTTGATATCCCTGCATGTAATCAGAGAGGAGGGAAAAAGACAAGCTGGGACTGGGCCTTTCAGCCCAGTTTGTGTTTGGGATCCAGAACAGAACAGCAATTTGCCTGGAAAATCACACAAGAAGAGATCTGCACCATTAAATTACAGATGAAACATTTGCCAGGGCATAGTTTTGTATCAATTATTATGTTCAGCCTCACTCTTGAAGGGTACAAGAAGCCACAAGGCTGGAAAATCCATTAAAATACTTGCTGAGGATAATAAGTAACATTTAAGACATATTATTACAAGTAGGAAAGCACCAGTTACTTTGAGACAATAAAAAGTTAATCATATGGAAGAGTTTGGGATTTTACATTGCAGAACTTAGATCTGGAAAGTCCTGAGGCTGCCATTACACTTTTTAAAACCAAAAACTCTGGGAAATCCAAGTTATTAAAGCCTAAGTTAAAATGTGTAACTATCAGCTGCTATTACATTTGATATTATTCCCTTCTGAACTCCAGCCCAATGATGACTACAGAGAATGTTTAATGATAAATTAATGATCTGTGAACTACAACTTACCCTTTCTTCTGCCAATAGGCTTTCCTCACCTAAAGTGTTGGGATCTTCCTCTTTACATTTCTGGCAAATTGCAGTTTTATTGTTTCTGGTGAAAAGAAAGAAAAAATTGAATAACAATCCAGTGGTGCCCTGCAGTTTAGGAGGTCTCTATATAGGCACTGACACAAATAAAACCATGAAAATTGTGATTTCCACTCAGAATCCATAGTCCTTGTTCACTAAAGGGCCAAATCTGGAACACACTGATGTCCAAAAAGTTTTGCTCTTCTGTTCTTTGAGACTAAGACTATGCCCATTAATCCAATCTGCATTTCAGTAAAATAAGGGCAGCCTGAACCATAAAGAGGAATAAAGATGGAAAGCTATTTATCCCATGAATGATTCAAAAACTCCAAGCAAGAAAGAGAAGGCGAAAACAAAAGTCTTTTAAAACACAGAAAACGCCTATTTTGCCCAGACAGATACAGACATATGGCATCATATTTACTAAAACCCCATGACATCCCTCATCAGAGGGCTGCAAAGTGCCATGGAAGGATTCCATCCAAGGCCTGGACCAGTCCTTCAAGGTTAAATCAGAATGATTATGTCACAGATAGGAAAACTCTGTCAGGCCCCAGAGACTGCCATGGTGGGAACAAGGAGGAGGCAGGGAGCATCCTGCATTCCAGCACGGAAAATCCTCCAGAGAGCAGTCCCGGGGCTCGCAGCACAGCCCAGCACGTACCGCACGATCCAGGCGAGGCAGGCAGAGCAGTACCTGTGCCCACACAGCGTCTGCAGGGCTTGCTTCAGGATGTTGTTGCAGTTACTGCACAGGAACTTCTGACCAGGCACATCCTCACAAATGTTGGTGGGGTACCCGACGGGAAACTCGTTTTCATCAGGGGAAGAGCCCGGGGTGTCCTGCAGGCTCCTGGGGGTGTTCTCAGCCATCTGAAGCGAGCGCTGTCGGAGAGGAGATGGAATCCAGGTGCACACACTCACTTGGATGTGAGAGGATGTACCAGAGTCCTGAAGCACCCCAAACCCGCGCAGTAACAGCGCTGGGTCTGCAGTGACAGTGACAGCGTGACCAAATGTCACAGTGGGGTTTGACCCGGCAGGAAATTACTGCACACCTTGAAAATCTCCCTCAAACACAACACAAAAATAGACCGTGGCCTAAAAGGAGGGGGTTGGGGATTTCTTTCAAGCGTTTTTAGCTTGTACAAAGATGAGTCCCACCAGTTCTCATCACATGGGATTGTTTCTGTAGAGAAAATCCCCAGCCACATTCAATTCTCAGCAGCCAAAATTCGTGATTTCACTTCACAGGCACAGAAACTGAGCAGCTGCTGTGTTGACAGTGACTTTCGTGAAGTCACAAAAGTTGTGGTGAAATGATGAAGGAAATCCCAAGTCCATGAACCCTTAATGCTGTGCTCTGACCAGGCACACCCAGAGCCACCTGTGCCAAGGTGTCATTCACATTCAGTTTGGTTTGTTTAATAAGACCTGTGCAGTGGGATATTTTTGGAAATGCAGCCAAAACTGATTCTTGGAGTCTCTTGGAAAGGTTTTCACTCAGAGAACTGGTGCGGTTTGATTATAATAATCCCTTCACAAAGCTATTATTTCCCCATAGCAGTACCGACACAGCATAACCTGTGTCAGTATCAGCAGCAGTCAGCTCAGAAATGTGAAAATCAGAGCCCAGGCTGCGCTGGGCAGGCCGGGCTGGCGGTGTGAGTGCCGTGAGCTGGGCACGGCACACCCTGGCCTTGAGCCTCGGCTCTGGGAACATCCAGGGTTTTCCATGGCCTTCCTCAGCCGGTTCCCGTGGGCTCT